CTCTATTGTTTGAATGAAGGTGAGTGTAACATGACACAGCTTCATAGAGCCTACATGGGAGGTCAATAGGCAGAAGTCACTTGCAAGTGGCTGCTCTCCAAATATTGAGCAGATTAATTCCTCAACAATAGATTTCAATGGAGGAAGCATATTCAAAGAGATATTTCTTTACAAATCCCTCTGCCCTAAGACACCCTCCCTCCCCAGAATTTCATTTCATGCATACATACTGCAAGGAAAGATCTTTTTGCCTTTGCCAAACACATTTCACCTGTGATTTCATTAATATGATTAATAATTGACATAGAAAATACTGCATCATGGACGTGTGAACCAAAAATGAAGAAATGTAAGCTAATTGGAAGGGAACTCATCTCTAAATTACTTTAGATTTCTTGGACATCTCTCTCTCTCATTCTTAAAGATCTAAAAAAAAATCTAATTCTTATCTTGTTCTGGACTTCTTGTAAAAGCCTATTTAGCCACTATGAGGCCCTGCGTGAGTGGGAAGACTTTAAATTTAAAAGAAACCCGGGGATCCCTGGGTGGCTCAGAGGTTTAGCGCCTGCCTTTGGCCCAGGGCCCAATCCTGGAGTCCCGGGATTGAGTCCCACGTCGGGCTCCTGGCATGGAGCCTGCTTCTCCCTTTGCCTGTGTCTCTGCCTCTCTCTCTCTCTCTCTCCATCTATGTCTATCATAAATAAATAAATAATAAATCTTTAAAAAAATAAATTAATTAAAAAAAAACCCAAAAGGAAGGAAGGAAGGAGGGAGGGAAGGAAGGAAGGAGGGAAGGAAGGAAGGAGGGAAGGAAGGAAGGAGAGAGAAAGAGAGAGAGAGAAATAGAAAGGAAGAAAGAAAGAACAGAAGAAAAGGGGGAAAGTTCCTTCCTTCCTTCCTTCCTTCCTTCCTTCCTTCCTTCCTTCCTTCCCTCCTTCCCTCCTTCCTTCCTTTCGCCAGACAACAGATAATCTGACCAAACTGTGAAATGGGGGAAAAATGCACCGACAGCACCCACCCACCTGTCTTGGTGCCCCTTTCTTCACATCAATTCTTTACCCTAAGGCACCAGTGACTTCCAAGCATTTTCCTACCATCTTTTTAAATGTTGTGTGCACCCAAAATTAGTCATGTATGTTTCTCCTCCTTTCTCTCCAGCCCTCCAAGCAAAACTCAAATTCTGTTGGAACAGCTGACCTTGGCCTGGTGTGAGAAGGATCATTTTAAGACTAAGGACTCTGAACTAATCAACAAATGATTCAAGGGCTTCTAGTGGAGAAGGAATTTAAAAAAGATTTCAATTTTCCTAAAGAGTTTTTAATGCATGGACATTTCAGGATGACAAAGGAAAAGAAATGAGAATGTTCTAGACAGCATGCAGCCTAGAGCAAAGGTAACCTGCAGCATGCATGCATCCATCCACAAAGTCCCATTTCAGAGGAGGGAGCGGGCATGGCTAGTGGAAGCCAGAGCTCCTTCCTGCTGTATTTGTCTACTCCTCTCATTAGAAAGCTTGAAGTGAGGAAGTGAGAGGTCCTCAAAGCTAGCGGACAAGATGAAGCCTATTTGCCATTCCTGCTCTGGAGACTCCACAGCAAGCAGGTCTGTTCTAGAAAGGGTGCTCACCTCAGGGTCAGACTCCTTGGTGTTCTCAGAAGAGCATTTTCTCTTCCTTCAAATAGGCTAAGTTGGAGGTAAAAAGTGCTTGTTCCAATGACAGAGTTACTTCGCCTCAAAACTGTTCAGGGATTCCTAGGACTTGCCTTCAGTAACAGTTTATAAAACACAAATTCTCAATCTCTCTCCCTCTCCCCCCCCTTTCTTCACCACATACCCTCTCTACACACACTTACTAATTTCTGAGTTGGTACTTTGTTTTTGAGTAACTTAGGAGCTTGACAACCAACTGTTTCTATAATTGACACCCACACTGGAAGAATCAAGCTTTGCCCACGTATAACCCCTTGCTGGGAACACATGTCTAGGCAGGCAGGGCCTCTTCCCCAGGCCCAATGCCTCCTTCCTCCTCTTGCCCCTGGATCCACTCTGCCTCCCTTTCCTCTTTGTGTCTGCCATCACTTCTTTTCCTCTGGTGGGTCTCTCTTCTTCTAGGTAAACTGCAAGCAGGAATGGAATCTTTTGCCTCCTGCTCAACTCTTTCCACTTCCCTTAACAGTCTTTAAATTATTTTCTTTTTGAGCATTATTCCTTAGTACAAGGAAACAAGCTACATCCATTAAACAAATCCATGCTTTACAGATTGTAAAAGTCACATAAAAGTATCCGAGTAGGTATTGATGGCTTTGCTTTCCTGATGCATCTATGTAAATGTCAAAAACAAGAAGCAGGGTTTGAAATCAAGTTTTTGGATCTTCTACTTGGATTCCTTTATTCCTGAGAGTGGTAAGGAAACTTCCCTTTGCTCTACCCACTCTGACCTCAGGTTTTATCACAGGTTCTTGCATTTCTATGAAGACGTTTGCAGCCTAGGGCAGGGGTCACCAAAGTACAACCTGCAGCCTGTTTTTATAACTGAATTTTATTGGAATGTAGTCACACAGTTTTTATCTCTGGTAGATACCAGAGACAGTCCACTAGGGAAGCTAAAATGTTCTGTAATTATTAGACCAATCAAATGATCCCATGCTCGAGGGCCACAAGCATATCAGGACCATTCCAGAATGATGTGGTTTCTCCACATCATAGGGTCTTTCTTTCATTTCTCTGAGAAGGTCAGATGATGTCAATCTGATAAAGGTCAACCTGTTGGGATTATCTAGAATGTTTAAACAATGATGTAGCATCACTGGAAAAGGACCACAGGACCCAAGTGGATCTACACATTTTGATGTAAAACTTCTTGTATTTTTACTGTTAAAAATGTTAAAATGGAATGCTATGGTTCTTCCTAGAAGTTCCCAGGATCCTCATATCCCTTTTATAAAAACAAAAAAAATTAAGTAAACTTTCAGAAGATAGGAAGCATTTCTCTTAAAAGTAGAAATGCTCTACAAAACATGAATGGGGAGAAATGGATAAACCAGTAGCACGTTATCTGACTCAAAAAAGATGCTTATGGCTGTGCCAAATCATATTTTCCTTAGTAAGTCACACTGAACAAAAAAAGAAGATAAATCACCGTGAAAATGCAAGCGAGCTGGTAATAATAGCCTAGTTATAGCTGCCATGAAATAGTCATTAAGTTATATGCAGCATAAATCTCACAGAGTTTTGTAAATTATGGTGGTTTTTAGAGGCCAAATAAAGATAAACCATACAAACTATGGCTGTGTTTCTCTGTGCTCCTTGGCATGACTTTTTAAAATGCTTAAGCTCAGACTCACAGTACCATATGGTCCTTGAAGCATCTGAAAAAGCATAAAGGTTCAAAACTCTCTTAAGATCCCTCTTTCACACTTTGAAGGTGATCACTCCTAGCCATTCCTTCCCTGCACTCTTCTCTGGCTCTGGCTCACACAAAGGCTGGACAGGCTTCCAGCTCGAGCCTTACACTTCAAGCTGCTCCTGCTTCCAAGGCATATTGGAATAGCAGGTGCTGGAGATGGGCAGTGCTTGTAGGGCTGAACTGGCTGCTGGTGGTTCCAGCCAGCCACCACCTCCACTCCGGAGACCAGCAATAAAATCCCACTTTCTGCCTTCCTCAGTAGACCAGCACATTAGCAAAATTCAGATTCAAAGATGCCCAGTAAAATGTTCCTCTTCTTCCTTTTTGGAGGTTGGTAGTAATCCCCAGTTGGTCTTTCCTCTTAACTGCTTTTTCCCCCTGCTATTTAAACTAAATTCTTATTGCTCCAAATTAAATCCATTCTTTCTGGCCTTGTCATCGCTAACTAATGAGAACAATTCCTCTCTTTGCTCCTGGTAGCTGCACTTTGGGTACTTATGGATGAGAATCATATCCTTCTTTAGCCTACTTTTTTTTTTCTTTTAACAGCAGACTGCACAGGTGATAAAATGGGTTAATTGTTGCTATAAAAATATTTTCTATCCTCATAACGAAGTAATTTTTTTCCTCCAAATCATTTTAATTTCTTAGAACTACCCTGTGTCCTTAACAATCTGCAGTGACTGAGGCTGCATTCCTATTGGGCTTATACATACAAGCAAAATGTTGGATATACAATGCACATGAATATAACAATTCTTGGTTATTGTGCTGTTTCCTTTTGGCCCCACCCCATCTGGCCTCAGTTTTTATCACATGTTCCTTATATTTGTATGAGGAAGTTTGCCGTCTAGGGCAGGGGTCATCAAAGCAGAGCCTGTAGCCTGCTTTTTTTTTTTTTTAAAGTAGGCTCCACACCCAGCATGAAGTCCAACATAGGGCTTGAACCCACAACTCTGAGATCAAGACCTGAGCCAAAATCAAGTGTCAGACGTTTAAGCAACTGAGCCACCCAGATCCCCCTGCAGCCCGCTTTTATAAAATAAGTTTTTATTAAAATATAATCACACACATTTTTTTAAAAAAACATATTATCTATGGCTGCTTGCACATTACAGCAGCAGAGCCGAGGAGCTGTGACAGAGACTGTATCACCTGCAAAGCCCAAAACACTTTCCATCTGGCCCTTAATAGAAAAACATTGCTGACCACCAGCACAGGAGATTATTACCACCAAAGTGGGCTTTGCTACTTGTACCAGGTTAAGGCTAAGTACCAGGTAAATCTCTTATTTACACCTTCTTCTGTTTCATGACAGACCAAACCATACCACTGGAAAGGGAGTCTGGACTCAAAGAGTTTTTCAGTTTTTATCCCTGAAATACCCCCATGGGCATCAAGGTTCACACTGAAAGGGAAGAATGAGGTTTGACACTGGGACAACCCTGGGATAGGGTTCCGACACATGTTGGCAAATTTTATAATCATGTGCCTCTTTGCCGAGTCTATCTAGAACGTTCTGCTGCATTCATCTGGCTCACCGACTCACACCACCAGGAAGACAAAGCAATGGAGGCCAAGGCCTGGTACTCACTATGTGAAGCTGTAGGAAGTCACCGAGGCCCGGAGCACTGTCAATGCGCACCAAGATGCCATCCTTCACGGTGGTGCTGAAACCCACGGCCAGGCGGTCAGAGCGTGTGCTGGGCCGATCGTTGGCCGGCCAGGTGTAGAGGATGAGGCCTCCGCTTTTCCCAAAGATGTATGTAGCGCCAGCTGCGAAAGCAAGGAGAGAGGGAGCCATCAGGGCACTGTGTTGTGCATTGCCCACTGCAGGCCCACTTTTGAGATACTACACAGACAGCTGCAGAGAGGAAACGGCCCCCACGTGCTGGTATTTGGTTACTGAGAGGGATGGCATCCAAAGTCTCGGAAGGCAACTGTCACCCTAAATTAAAGATGCAGGCAAAATGAATTAATAACAGAGCAGATGTGAGCAAGAGACGTCCCTAACATCTTCAGTTCCTGCTGTATAATGGCAGAGGGCAAATACCCCTCTGTGTCTGAGAGCTCTGGTACTTTGTGACAAACAACCTTCCTGATCTCCTCAACAGCAGAATTCATTTTCCATCTCGGCTAGGACAGGCATGAGAGGGAAAACTGGTTCCCCCAACTCTTAGCTATCAGAACATTCTGGTCAGTGGAGCCAGGAGCAGTTCAGGAATGCCTCACAAGACTGAACATAAGGTGTTATGTCTCAAGCCATCATTCTTTTTCATACCTGGACCTTCCACCACCCCCACAGAAAAGAAAGCTGTAGCCAGAGAAAAACATTTGTCTCTTTCACTCTTATGTTGCTATAAAAAAAATGTGATAAAAATTAATTCCAGAGGCCTTTAAAAACTTAATTTTTTCCTAGTGTTCGTATTTATCTGGTATTATATAACAGCTTCCTTCTTTTCCAAGCTAAATTTCTAAAAGGAAATATAGAAGACATAGAAAAAAATCTCACAATGATGAATTTAGAATGTAAGTGGTATTGCCACTTATGAATAGTGGGTTTATCCATGTTTTTAGTACTTACTGTGTTTTCACTCTTATTATTTTACAAAGCCAGGGATTAGTAAAAATATAGTAATTTAAAAATACATAGAAAACAAATAGGAAGAAAAATAAATAAAATATTTGTATCTCATGAATCGTAAAAGTCCATTTTTAAAAACAAATTTTTAAGTCTAAATTTGGAGGAAAGCATTTAGATTTGGTAGCTAGAACAGACCACATCATTGTAGTTTCTATGGCTATATGTATGTTACCCATAGTGAATACTTCCATATGTTAGTCATCTCAAAGTTCAAAGAATATTTGGCAGATTTTCAGATGTGTTCCCACTGAACATGGTCCAATCCTTGAAACTATTTTAAAGCAGCATTAGATAAGCATTCAAATTTCTTCAACTTTACTAAAATTCTCCAGCATTGGTTCACATTTAGCTTACAGGGAATACTGGATTGAATTATGTTGTATGAAGAAAAAATGAGTTATGCAGCTTATTTAGAAATAATAAAGTCAACTGCTACGAGCTAGAATTAGGAGTATATGTCATATGTCATCCTTATTTTAAGCACTAAGCCACATTATACTCTGAGGCATATAGAATCTAATTAAAGGTCACAATTCTAGTCCCTCCAATATGCTCAGTTTGTATATTACGTGTATCATAACATTATCTTCGTTTTATGAATGTCTCAATCCTTAGGGGATGGTGTCTGAAAAGACCTCCACAGTCAACTGAAGAATTTGGGATTGTGGTTTGGAGAGTTTATGATTAATTCTTTTTTTAATATTTTATTTACTTACTCATGAGAGACACACACACAGAGAGAGGCAGAGACATAGGCAGAGAGAAAAGCAGGTTTCATGCAGGGAGCCCGATGTGGGACTTATCCCAGGTCTCCAACATCACGCCCTGGGCCAAAGGCAGGCGCTCAACTGCTGAGCCACCCAGGCGTCCCTATGATTAATTCTATATGCAAAACAATATTTGCTCACCATCCACAGATACCCTCAATGCTTCTTAAAATTGGAAATGTGGACATAATGATTTACTCTTGATTTCTATCCATCTGTGAAGAATTTAAATAATTCCCTTTTCTGTAGATGATTACAAATGTCATCGCCACCCTCTTTATTCTTTATTTGGAAACTGGAAGGTTACTCAGTGATCAATGTATAGAATCACCAAAATGCAAATCAGCCTTTGACATTTTGTGGTAATTTATAAAAATCTTACCCTATTCTATCCTAAATATGTAGTGGATCCCACTACAGAGATAAATCCATACTCTATCAGGAAATAATTTTATCATTTTGTTACAAAAAGAACAAGTCCAAAATTGATAACAGCAACACATATGCCTGGTGTTTTCTGATTTAAAAAACCTTTTCAAATTCATTAGCTGGATCTTCACAACGGTTCTATGGGATATTTCATTTGTTAACAACGTGTGGAAACAGAGACCCAAACATCTGAAATAAATGGCACCTCTTTAAGTCATCAGCTTTACCCTCTTGCCTCCAGAAGCTTGTCTTCACCATATGCCAGCCATAGCTTAATAAAATTATACAATAAACTATACCAGTGATGCAAAGTTAACTGTGCTTTATTCTTTTCACATCTTCCTATAAGACCAAAATGGAATGAAAACAAAGCCATAGCCCCCAAACCTGGCATATTTTCAAAGGCTAGTCTTGCCTTCTGACCATACATACCCTGCTCATATTTTTTATCCACTGACTATTCAATAATTCTCAATATAAAGAATGTAAAGATAAAGAACATTTTAAAAGATAAATATACAGCTTCTTATATATAGTGGTTAGGAGATCATAATGGCTTTAAATAAAGAACAAAACCTCACTATGACAATAGCAGGGTACATCAAAAAGTAGTCTTAAAAATCATTTTTATTGCCTTTGTCGTTCTGAATTTTGGATGCCACCGTATTAGATAATTCTAACTTTGTAGGTGAAAAGGGCAAAAAAAGCACAAAGTCCTTAGCATATGGCTTATTCTGCTATATGGAAACAAATCTTAAAATATGTATTCTTGGTACCAAATATCCTAGTAAGGGTAAATAAAGATCCTGAATGCTCCCACAGTTCAATGTTGGCTTTACAGGAAGTTAATTAATATTTACAACTTTCTACTCTGAAAACCTGTAATTTTTTCCCTCTTCAGTTAGCTCTGCTATCTTGCGTGGTTTTTAAAGATAGATATGCACTTTCTGTTAATTTTAATATAAAATGCCTAGAGTCCTAGGGGTAACATGGACTTATTTTGCTTTACATTTTCAAATTAAAAAGTTAATTTTGTTATTTTAAAATGTGGACTACAAATCAACATTTTGGGAACATTCTAAGAACTGTAAGTACCCTCCTTAATCCATTAAAGATTTTCATTTCCAAGCCATGCAATACCACATCGCATGCTTCTTCCCCTGAGCCTAGTTTGACTGTTGGTTTCTCACTGTGCTAAGTATGCTGGTGTGAAGATCATACTCCATTTATTAACAATCAGAACCATGAATTTCCTGCTTGCTAGCAAAAAGTGATCAATTCAACTGAAGAAAAACTGCCATGGTGGCATTTTGACCATTTAACATTGCAGGATTTGCAAGTTTGCAAGGCAGCTGAGATTGCTGAGTTCCACCAACACAGTATTTCAGGAATGAAATCTCGACACTGTCACCATTAACCAAGATATGTATATGCACCATTTTCAAACAGTCAACAAATATGACATGTTATTTATAACACGCCACTTCTTTTATCTCAAAAGCACCAGAAAATAGATTTGGCTTTTTGTTTTTATAATTAGCAAGCTACTTACTGGGATGGGGCTCATGGTGATTTTGACAGACCCAGGTATGTGAGGGTATGAATATGTGTGTTTTGGGGCATATTCTGTGTGTGGGATTTGTGGGGGTAAGAAAAGAGTAGGACAGGATCTAGTGAGATCATGATGGAGTCCTGGAGAATAGCTTTACGTAGTTATACAACAAGCCAATGAAACAGATGATCGATGATTTCTCAAGGAGAATAACAGATAAAATTTTTCTAGGTCATAAAAGCAAGATATGTTTTTATTTCTTCAAGAAATAGTTATTAAATCTGTGGTGCATATTACTGCTTATTTTACTAAAATTTAATTTAATTATTGATGGCAACTTAACTTTTCCTTATTTAGGACATTTGGATAATTATTACTACTGTTGCTTTGACTTCTTAACCTCATGGCCCTGCCATTATGACTTTGCTTTCTATTCCCATATCCAAATGGCATGTTATTTTTTTGGCAATTACCAATAGAAATAGAATCATGGACCTGTTTAGGATTTATATTTTATATAGAAATAATATATACATACATATGTGTATGCATATACATATGTGAGTGTGTATAAGAAATAAAAGTGAGTTAGAAAACTCAATAGACTACTTGGAATTAATTTATTATTTTCTCCATCAAATTATTACAGATAAAAGGTTCCAGAAATGCATCTAAGCATGTTGGCTGGTTATTTATGTTTTTTTTTTTAAAGAAAGAAAGCAAAGCAAATCAGCCTTCCCTGAAATAATTTTTGGTTGGTGTTAAAATGAAACAAGTTGGCAAGCAGCTTCCAGGGAAACCTGAGAAGATTAAATTTAAAGGGAACTAGATGATTTACTCATGGACAAATATAGAATGTGCAATAATAAATTAAGTAATAAAATTAGTATAATTCTTGCTGTGCAAACATCTGGTAGATAAACCAGGGTAAGAAAAAGAAGTCAAACTCCTACCCTAGTGTTCTTTGAACATTGCCTGAGAATTTATAAAATCTCATGACATCAAGGTAATATGTCTGTCTTTCTCTATTATTCAGGCTCCTTATTCATTATTTCTGTTGTATTACTCTTTCATCAACCTTATCCACATTTGTGTTCTTTACTGCGAATTGGTAAATCCTTTTGGAAAATAAACGGACTATCAATGACGTATACATTGTGCCCATAGAAGCAGTTACTGCTATTCATTTTAAACTATCTTTTAGTCAGATCAATTAACCAGATCTCTAACAAAACCAAAACAGAAAGGCTTAGAAATATCACATATCACTCCTACCAAATGGAAACATAAAGCTCAAGGAGCTCATAATGATTGATGGCCTGAAAAAAAAATAGTTTCTCGATTTCTTTTACTCAGTTTGCTCTATGGTTCACCTTCCACACAC